AGCGAGCGAATTGGACATCATACTTGCCATGACCGACGATGTTCTGATGGCTCTCCTGGCTATCGGCATGTTCTCGTCTGTCGTTTTTGTGAGTCCCGTGAGATTGTTGGGAATATTCTGGGATTCCCGTTTCCCGGACTCGGATAATTTTATCCTCGGAAGAAGATCTTGAAACCTACATTGCCATTCATTTCTTCGCTCTTCCCCCCTAGCCTTATAAGAGGTGGGCCATGCTGTACTACGTTTTCGGATTCCTCTCGCTGTTTCTCCAGATCATGGGGAGTGAGGGCGAGGACTTCTTGCCTAAAGAACAGTGGAAACTTGATTTCTTGAAGATGGATATCGAGGACGTAAGTGACCGAACCAGAAAACTCAAGCGAGAAATAATTAGCGTCGTGATCTTTGGCTTGAGCTGATGAACTTCTCAGGGTTACATCGTTGGAGCGGACTCCATAAACGTTGTGGGCAACTCTCGCACCGGCATGAAGTACACCGTAATAAGCACTCAAGTAGGTGGGCTCTCTGGATGGACCCGGGAAATTTTTCCACTCGGCGAGCTTCCTCAAGATCTTCTCTACATATGCTGGTGATTTCCACAGGTGATATTCCAGCTGATCATGACTATCTTCGTGTTTGGTAAGCGCGACCTCCCGCTCTGAGCCCATATCATGAATTCTTCGATTCCGATACTGACCTGATTCGAAGAGCAACTAAGCGTGAGACTCTAATAAATGTTCGAAGTGGTCAAGAGAGAGTTTTCCGTATTTTGTCAGTCCAGGACAGGCTTGTCATAAGGAGTACTGACCGGCAAGCAAACTTCGGGCTGAAGGACGGAAACTCCTCGGCTCTCTTCTGGGGCAGGGGACATTCATTAGGCTCAGACACAGTCATATCGTAATCGACGCGTCCGGTGCGCTTCGACAGAGACTCTCCGAATTCTCTCCAATTTTCCTCGCCATCTATGATTGAGGGTGTCGAATCCCCTCTCGACCAGAAAGTCCACAATTGAATGTCGCACGGCTGCTCCCATGAGCCTAGGCACAGTCCCTCTCCCAGGAAACGAAGGGAGGGAAGTCTGCGCCGGTAACGAGGAGACTATCCTGAATCAGTTCGAGATCACTGTCCTTTCAGTGATGCACCTTTTGAAGTGCATTTCCNGATCGATGCTTTCGGC